GATACCCATTATCAGATCTAATGACCATCTGTCTACATTCGACCTTGTCTGGACCAGCGCCAAGACAAGAAAGAGTTGCAATCAGAAGCAGGTTCTGGCCATGGATATGAAACGGACCTAAATCATTTGGGTCGAGAGCCTCTTGCTCCCACTGTGTGCTGCCTACCCAACGATAACTTAAGAGATGTGTCAATAGGACCCCAGAGTGTGCTCAGTTTTCCTGCCAGCTCCCTCTGGGAAGGCTGGCAAACCACACAGCTCTGGCTGCTTAGGCCAAAGTAAAAGCTAGACTGGATGGAGAGAGCTGAAAAGAGAAGAAAAGACAAGGATGAGGAGCAAAGAGATTTCAGATCCTGCTTTGTGTAAACCCACTCTCTCTGCAAGCATAATGCGAATGACACACAAAGAGGCATGGCTGCACAAACTGTATTTTGGACAAACGTTTTGTTGCCTCTCTGGTAATATAAAGACTGCTTCTCTTCACTCTTCTCAATATCATGTAATGGTGGAGACATGCTGGCTCATATACAACCTGTTTGCAGCATTAAAAAACTATATAACATAATATGAACATGATGAAAAAGACTTCCCTTTTCCCTCATACATTGCAAAATAACACCGATTTACCACTAAAACCTGCAGCATAAAGTACACATGTAGAACTACAGTACAGTTCTGCAATAAGGGCTGTAAATAAACAAATGTTTATATTCTGCAAAGGTTAGGCATTGTAATGCCTTTTTCTTTGTATTTTCATTTTTATACAGTTTGAATATACAGTTTTGAAAATGCATATTTTTCTGAAAACATATTCCCATCACTATCATCTACACTGGAAAAAATCAAAATCTAGATAAAGCATTTTTTCTTAAAATAAGTACATTTGTTCTTGGATTGAGCAGGTAAAAGAGACATTTTGCCAATGGAACAAGCCAATTTACACTTAAAATAAGAAAACACAATTGCATTGTCTTATTTCAAGTGCCTATTATCTAATTATCTTATTTTAAGAGTAAACATACTCACTCCATTGGCAAATTATCTCATTTACCTACTCAAATTAAGGGTAAATACACTTAATTTAAGACATTTTTACTTATTTCTAGATTGTTTTTCCAGTGTAGGATTCAGTCAGTATTTGATGTTATTAAGGTCTGTTATTCAAAGCAGGAAATGGTTCATCCTAAATTAATGTGTTAAAGATTTTTTATTAACAAGATAAACTAATGAGTTCTGTATTGCCACACATGGAAACAGCTGTGTCCACTGGAGGAGAATACAAGATTAGAAAAGCTCAAAAGGGATGGGGGTAACTATGGATGGTTAATCTTACTGATTTTTGTCTTTTTCTTTTAGGTCCAGAAGTTTTACTGGAAAGCCAGAGTAAGGCAGGTAGGTTTTGTTGCTAACTTCCTATGCTGTTTGATGGTGTCATGACTGATGGATACACAAGGGTCGACTAATTTTAAACCAATTCAGTTTATTCATATAGCGCCAATTCACAACACGTCATCTGAAGGCACTTTACAGGGACAATTCAACCAGATCATAAAGACAGATTGGTTCAAAGTTTTCTATCTAAGGAAAACCAGTTGATTGTATTGACTCATTGACTCAAATGCAATCCCTCACACTAAGCATGCTTGTAGCGACAGTGGAGAGGAAAAACTCCCTTTTAACAGGAAGAAACCTCCAGCAGAACCAGGCTCAGTGTGAACGGCCATCTGCCGAGGCCGAGGCCGACTGGGGCTCAAGGAGACAGAAGCAGAGATACAAAAAGCAACTGTAAACCAGCTCCACAGGCGGGCTACTATGAGAAAAAGCAAAGAGAGCAACCGCATCCATCATCTCTGACACCCTCTGGATGTATTTGTGTGTGAGCTGCAGCACAGCCAATGAAATTAACCTGAATTGAGAAAAAAACAAACAAAAAAACAACAAAACACCAACATGTTCCGAGAAGTAATTTCTGTCAGTTGCTTAAACCTTATAATATTCAACAAAAATTAAAACGTGCAATGACAGAATCAAAGAAGACCAAACCACTACGAATTTTGTCTGACATTTGAAATCACATAAAAAAGGTAGATGGTACCTTTATTTTGGTTACAATGAGATAGCCGACTTTAGCCATCCATGTCTTACTAACACATGTTCAGATGCACTGGTTTTATAATATGTTGAGATAAATACAGATTTAAGTAGAACACTTAGTAGATTATTTTAAAAAGAATCAAAAGGACTTGAAATATGAGGTTATTGACTTGAGATTCGACTCGGCTTGACTGTCTTTTCTTCAGACTTGACTCTGGAGTAGAGGAACAAGATTTCAGATATTACAAAAAAATGACTTAGTCCCACTCCTGTTATTTAAACTGACCACAGAATTAAAGCTGTTTTTTGCCTTCCTTCTTTTTCAGCAGCTTCTTCAGACGGCTGGATAAGGACCTTCAGTAAGTAAATAAGTTCAGCCTCTCCTCTCTCACATTTATCCAGCTGAGTTGGAGGCTCTAAGGGAATTAAGGAGGTATCCTAATGGTGTGATTTTTAAGAGGATATAGAAGAAAAGGGAGGAACGAAGATAACTTTAAAAAAAAGTCAGGGCAGAATCCATCTTTTATATTTGTAGGATTTTTAAGCTCCTGCAGTGTCACAAAACCATCAAAAACGCTTAATTTTTAGGAGGGTAAAACAAATACTTCCAGAATGTCACTTAACAATATAATATCTTCTGTGATACCAACTAAGACTCAACGCCCCTTATTGGAACAGAGCATAAATTCCCTTCTCATGGTGATCAATAAGAAGGGAAGACTTCATAAATGCTGCCATATTTTCACAGTCAATACTATAGCAAATAGCAATTTTGGACGCGTTATGAGCAATTTCATGGGTGAGTTCTCCTTGCCTTTTGGCAATTTGGTTTCTATGACGGATTTGGCAGCGGCAGTCGTGTGACACATCTGCCTTATTGCCTGTGTTTGTCTCGGCCATTGACTCTGACATATTTCCATTTAATGGTGAGAGCAGAACATAGATTTGTAAAGAGATCTGTTAGAGCTTGTCTGTCTGACCTGTAAACATGAATACGCTTAAAACATGTATGGTATCTGTATGCACCTTACTGGACAATGTTATACTCTATATGTTATCATTATGTGCATAGAGATTAATTTATCTGATTGGGTTTGCCCTCTAGCCTGTAGCTTAAATGATGCCCTATGTTTAATGTCTGAAATTTCATTTTGTGTACACTCTGTGTATACAAAATGACAATAAAATTTGCCTAACTAAGTGACAGCTGATCAGTTAGGAATACCACATTTCTGGTTGATAAAGGTTAATTATTTTATTCTAATGCAGAAGTTTACATATACTATGACAATTGTGTCTTTAAAAAAAAAACCTGAAAAAAGGTTGGCCCTCACACCACCTCAGCATTTTTCTATTATGCTACATTCTAACCAGCAACTTCAAAAAGTTTTATAGAAGTTTTTTAATGTTTCACTTAGTTGTGATGCAAAAGGAAATTTGAACTTTTACATTTAAACTCTGAAAATAACATTTACACAAATTCCTTCAATCGGTTCAAGGCTATTGAATTAAGTTTATCCAACTTAAATTATTTAAATTTTCAACTTATAAACTTCATAAATTTAGTTTGATCAACTTGATTCAATTGCTTAACTGTTGAAGCAATTAATTTAAGTTGGAGTTGCACTTTCTTTTAAGATAGTATCATTTATAAACAAAAACACTTGAAATGTTTTCCATGCTGTTTTTCCATTTAGCATAAATTAATTCTTTATAAATAAAGGTGTATTTTGAATGCCTGAGAGGTGTTTTTAAGAATAAAAACAGCATGGGAAAGAGGAAAGGAAAGAGAAAGTTGTGCAGAGGTATAAAGGAGGGTAAGTTTATGGAACAGTTTCTTAAAATCTGAACAACTTTCTTCTTTCTGATCACAAAGCTTTCATTTCACAAAATAATAATGCAAAATACACAACCAGAGGACAGTTTTAAATCAAAATGTATCCAAAGGTTATCATGGCCTAGTCAAAGTAAAACCCAAAATGTATCGACTGCGACTTCAAAGTGTGCATGAAGAAGCTCTCCATCCAACCTGACTGAGTTTAAGATTTTTTTATTTGTAAAGAACCATTAGCCAAACTTCAGTCTCCAAATGTTTAAAAACGCCCTGAAACACTTGCAGCTGTTAGTGAGCAAATAGTTCAAGAAGATATTGCTTACCGGTGACAAATCATATAGGGACATTTTTTAAAAGGCATCTTTAAAGTCACAGAATGGGTATTAAAATACTTCTCCAAAAAAGGTAAAATCAACCCACTGGACTTTTTTTTCAAGTTTGAAGACATTTCGCTTCTCATCCAGGAAGATTTTTCAATTCAGAAGTCAGAAGATGAGATCCATCCATCCATCCATCCATCCATCCATCCATCCATCCATCCATCCATCCATCCATCCATCCATCCATCCATCCACCCACCCACCCACTTGGGCAAGCTCCTCCAGGGGAATTCCAGGGCACTCCCAGGCCAGCCGAGAAACATAGTCCCTCCAGCGTGTCCTGGGTCCTTGAATTGAAAAAGCTTCCTGGATGGGAAGCGAAACATCTTCAAACTTGGAAACGAAGTCCAGTGGATTGTTTTTATTTTTTAAAAACTTTTTTGGAATGAAATGACCTGAATGACTGAGAATCTTCACCAACATATTAAAATACTCTTAATAGGATTAAATCTGAGGCCACTCTGCAGGCAAAAGTTATTTTTACATTTTTTTAACCAAGCAAAAATTCAGCAAATGGTTTTCTCTTCTAAGTTGACTATCATTTTTGAAACTAGAGATTAAAAACTTTAGGTCAGGGCTCATATAGTATCAGAAAACTGATCACAGACATAGTAGTTTTACTCTAATTGCTGCTTTGCATCAACCAAAGGCGTTGGAGTCGTTCAGTGCGCCGTCCTATCACAGCTCTCCCCTGTTTGGGACCAATAAACCAGGCAAACCAACCGCAGCTGCTGGATCCCCTCTGAATTCAGGAGGAAAGGTGTTCCAGGCTGTGATAATTCACCCAGGGAGCCTTGGCACATTTGTTTTTTTCTGCATAAACTTGAAAAACATAGAAGGGATGCCAACATATTCCGAGTGTTGATTCCTGCATTGTTTTGAAGGCAGTTCTGGGGGGATGGATGCGAGCAGAGGCGCACCGAGGCAGCGCTGACACAGACCCGGCTCAGCTGTGGAAAACCCAGGAGGACAAACCGACGACTGCTTTTAAAACATTAACAGGCCACAGATCAGCGGCTGCTCCTTATTCTGCACGTGTTCGGATTTCATATGAGGATCTGGAAGAAAAAGCACGTTTCCAATCTACTCTCTTGCTTTGCAATGAGAGAGAAAACAGCAGCGCTTTGATTTCTTAATTCCCTTCTCCCCATCTCGCCCTGGTTTGTTTCCTGCTCTTCCAGCTGTGATTATCTCCTGCTTTCATGTTCTGGCTTTGCTGTTGTCGATCACTGTGGGATCAACTCGTTTAGATTTCAAAAGTGTGCAAAAGAGAGGACAGCGCTGGCACCCATCCATGCGCGCTGCGCGCCGTGTTTTTATGATTAATATGCAACTGTGACTTTAAACGGAGGCAGAAAATATCGCATGCTTCTTACATCTGCTCGCTGCACACTGGAAGGAATCATTTCTTTGATGCAAATTTCTGCAAACGCTCTGATTTTGAACCTTTTTTTAACCGGCTGTCAGTGACGCAACCTCTCACATAGACTGCACGAGAAATCCACGCGTGGAAGGGCGTGAACTTGGCAACATCCTCCTCATAAATAAAGCATCTTCTTATTCATAATCCCAACTCGCGCAGTTTGCAGCCATCTAAAGTCATCCTGCTGGGAACGATGGATCTGAAAGCGGACTCGGAGGACATGGACTACAAGCAGCCGGCTCCCATTGAAGTTTTTGCCACCAGGTCCACGCTGCACGGCATCTCGCACATGTTCACTTATGAACGAAAGTACGTGAAGCGCAGCCTGTGGATCGTGTTCTTCATGGCCTCTTTGGGGGTGTTGGTGATGGTCTGCGTGGACAGGGTGCAGTTTTACTTCGCTTATCCCCACGTCACCAAGCTGGACGAGGTGGCCGCGTCCATGATCGTGTTCCCTGCGGTCACCTTCTGCAACCTCAACTCCTTCCGCTTCAGCCAGGTGACTCCTAACGACCTGTACCACGCGGGGGACTTCCTCGCCCTGCTCAATGGAAGGTGTGTAAGTTTAATTGAAACTAAGCCTCTGATGGTTTTGGCCATAAACACCTTTGACATCTTGTTTCAATCATTAAAACCAAAATATCAAAGTGCAATAAAGGGTTTCTGTGGAGTAAAGTTTTAAACTCATGTTTTAATAGGAATTAACTCATGCACTCCTTCTGAGATACTATAAAAGTTAAGTAATTGAAACAATTTCAAGTGTATCTCAATAAATAAGTCTGTCACTGAAAAGTGGATTTTCTTCAGTTGCTTAATAAGATTTAACACTATTATTATGTATGAGTAACAGCCATTAAAATTTAAAGTTTCTCGGAAAAGAAAAATTGTCCTGGGCTGTCACAAAAAAGTCAGTTGGCTCTGACACTTTACATATTGAGGGTGAACAAACAATTACTATTACCTAAAAAAGCTGGATATGCAGAGTATCCAAACATGTTAATGGAAAGTTGAGTGGAAGGAAAATGTACACCAAAGTTGGTTAAAGTCGTAGGGAAGCGGCTGTTCAAACAGTTGCATTTCTGAATTCTCCCGAGTGGTGCACGACTTAACACTAGTGAATAAAGTGAATGTGATTAGTCGTTTATCTAAAGGGTGGGATTGTTGTGGTGGAAGGTTCGCAAGCAAGTTTGGTTGTGGCCGGTTCCTCGAAAGCATCTTGGTAACCAGTTAGCAACTTAGTGCTAGTAGTAGCACTAAACTGGTGACTTAGAAATTACACTGTCAAGGAACGCTATGGACAGAGGAAACATGCAAGAGAAGGAGGGTTTAGTGTCGGAGGTCGTGGATGAGTCTCCTCCATCATCCATTTTTATTTAGATGAGGAAAGCGGGGACGAAGATGTTGTGGAAGAGGCAAAAGCGGCAGAAGCTTGGTTTGGTGTAGAAGGCTTACAGCCGTACATGTTTGAGCCCTTGCCTCGCAACGCTGCCAGTTCTGTTAGCTCTACACTTGCTGAAGACACAGACGCTGCGACATACCGTATGAATCAAGAAGCTATGACCGAAAAAATTTGATTGACTGATGAACGTTGATTTATGATTGGCCAAATTTAGGTGTACAGGCTGACATAGAACTACCTGGCCTGCATAAGATAATGAAAAAAACCCAGGATTTTTTTTTAAATAGAAATTTTCTAACTTTTGAGACAATATGGTGTGATAAAGAGTACATTTATATACCGTACATGTTTAATCCAGAATGATTTGACATTTAACACTGCTTAAAACTTTAAACAGTGCTTGTATGAGTAATTGCTACAGACTCAAAGTCACATGCTTACTAGAAGGAGAAATAACTGTAAAGTGGATGATTTGATCGTCTAATGGTTTGTTTTATATGTAACTGAGCTTATTAGGTCGCTCCTGTACCAGAGACAATCCAAAAAGTCAAACCTGGGTGAAGGAGAAGAAGAATTGGACTGTTTCTAGGATTTCATCAGTCCCCTTTGAAGATGAAAGCAAACTTAGGATTTTGTTCAAAAATGAAGATCAAAGAGGTTGGAAGAAGATTGAAAAGGTGCTAATCCAAGTCGCTTGAGATCCTTTAAGTTTCTTTGCTTGTTGATGATTTAGAGGAACCCTGTCATCTGCTATTTTTGGACCATCATTTTTAGTAAGTCTAAAGTCAGCTGATTCTGATTTCATATTTTAGTGGGACATGGCACACAACAGCATTACCATATGTATCTATACCAGCTTTGATGACATAAGTGGCCAGTGGACCGTCCGTCCAAAAACTAATTGTTTACAGGCATTTATTAATTTAGGGTCACATACGGGGCAGGTGGCCAACCCTGGGGGGCCGGTGAGAAAGACCCTGAACTGGTCACTAGTCCAATACAGTCAGGCCAGCAGGCTAGACTGACCTTAACCCCAATGCAAATATGTGGGTGTTTTTATAGAGGAAGATGAGGGGCTGAGGAAGAGTTGAAGCCATATGAAGGCCTCCTCATCATCTTAGTAGAGCAACAGGCGTATTGCCTCCATGCCAAACTGCACTACTGCGTTAATGCAAGCTAATAATAGCAATATAATTGCAAGTCACTGAAAATAATTTAACTGCAATGGCAGTTAGAAACTTTGTTCAATTTAGATTTAACAACAGTTTGACACTGAGCTTTCTCACTCCAGCCCTTTATGCTTAAAGTTGGTTTAACACCACAACTGCCATCCCTGACCATCCCTGGACCGTAAGTGAAATGTTATTTTTGGGCCCCCTGCAACTCGTGCCACAAAGTTCTTTTTTAACAACAAACTCACAATCAAGGGAAGCAGAAGTTTCCCTGTGTTTTACGTCTATTGCTTGCACCAAATTCCTGATGCCGCATGGATGACGTGTTGATGTGTCATTGCTCTGCATGAGAGAGCCTGTCTAAATTTGCACCCACCATGATTGGTCAGATGTCGAGAGCTGGTCATCAGTGAGAGGTCAGATTAAAGGTGGTCTCTTTTCTCGCCTCCCCCTTACGGTGTAGAGCTTATGCACAACAGTGCGTATTCATTGCAAATATGTGCTATCACATCCTAAAAGTGGCCCCGTTGCGTCCCCACGCAGAGTGCATTTTCTGCATTTAGGTAGGGATGCAACACAGAAGGAAAGAGAGTTGCAGCTAGAACACAGATTCAGAAGTAACAACTTTTCTGCACACGAGTAACAGTAGAATCCTGCCACAATGGACTATGAGAGGAAAAGCTTTCAGGGTTATGAAAACAATAGTGACACATTATAAAAAAGTATCTAAATATGTTTACAATCACAATATTGGTTAAATATATTTACATTTTTAACTAAATATTCCTGGATAGATGTTGAAATGTCTTCAGAAAAAAACGGAGGGACATTGGTTGCTTTCCAATTTAAGCCTGTTGTGTTTGATTTTTCAGCGCTACAAAGGACTGAGTGCATATACTGCAGTATGATATAATATACTAGGCTGGCCAGGCAGATTGATATGCCGTGTATATGTCGTATCAGTGGCGGGGCTCTCAGGTGACTGACCCGAAAACTCCGTTTTTGCAACTTGCTGTTTTTGTCTTCTTGTATTCCATGAAACGTGTGAAGCTAAGAATAGCAAATACATAATAATAAAAAAGAAATGTCAATAATGCTGCTGTCGTTGAGGTTTTAAAGTTAGATCAATCATACTTAGGCACTTAGACATCTGAACCACTAACCTGCAAAATCTGTGCCCAAGAAAGTTAGGGGAGTGGTGGCCTAGTGGTTAGGGCATAGAGCTTGGGATCCTGAGGTTCTGAGTTCAAGCCCAGTCCCCACAGAATGCCACTCTGAGTCCCAGAGCAAGACCCTTAACCCCACACAAAAAGCCCCACAGGCTTTCGTTGCTCTGTACTGGTGAAAGTGTAATGACAAAAAAAACTTAAAGGGCATAATTTAAACGCCACTGCGTTGTGGTTGCCATCTTGCTGTTATGCTAACAGAAACACAGGACGCATCCTGAAGTCCTGCCTTCCGCGCTTTGGTTGATCCGGCCAGATCTGATTTACCAGACTGAATTACACCGATGTAATTCAGTTTGGCTTTGCCAGGCTAATGATATACAGTAAATGTAGATATTGTACATGATACTGAACTTTTCCATGATTTTCTGATCCACTGAGATCCATAAAACTGTTGAATTTAGTCAGAAAACTGGACATTTCTTTACTTTGGTGAGAAGATCCCCAAAGCTTCTTGAAAGAAATTCATAAAATACTTCAGTTTAGTATTTCACTAAAGTCCTGCAAAACATCACTTTAGAGTCAAACACTGACAACAGTATAGAGATTCAACCCAAATAGGTTACGATTTCTGAATTGTCTTGGGTGAAGCCTTGTCTGCCAAACAAGTTCAAAGCTCTGTGAATATTGGTCTGTTTTCACTGTCACTATAGGAGCAATGGGAACACTGCAAAACAACATGGACAAAGCATGTAAAGCCTTTTAAAGCTCTGGACTCCACTGGCCTTCTGACGCAGCTAAGGAAGATGGAGGGTCATGCATGAAAGGCGGCCCCTGAAAGCAGAGTGAAAGCAAATTAAAGCATTAGCATTAGAGTTAATAATGAAGAGAATTATGATTCCTGTTATATGAAGCTCTCATTTTACATTCATCCTGTTATCTAATGTCTTTGAAATAAAATATGTTTCTAATATCATGGTTTGATAAAGAAAAAGTAGAACATAGAACTCTCTCAGATACCCGATCCTAGCTGTTTCTAAGTTCACATTTGAAAACATTTCCGCTGATCTAATTTTATTTTGCCATAATGTTGCATAAATATCCATACATGCATTTTAAAGTCTCCTGCTCTTTGTGACAGTGTAGAGATGTGTGTTCTTCAGTTGACACCCTCTCCCTCCAAACCTGTTGCTCCCTACCGTGCTTTGATCATATAGTTTTTTAGCAGCTTGTATAAATTCACTGCATCATGTTCAAAGTGTTAAAATATTTTTTCTTTTTGTTTTTGAGTGCCACCCGTCTTATTCGGATCACAGTCCCTTGAAGGATACAGATGAAAACCCTCACTTTGTTTTGCAGCAAACAAAACTCACACATTGGAAAATAGTACTTCACTAAATCACAAATAAAATACATACTAAAACCGGAGTTCTAATCCCACCTTGAACACACCACTCTTTTTATTTTTAGCATATTGATCCACACAGCTCTGCAGCCTAAGGTACAGAGTACATATTGTGCATGCTGTACATGCTCAGCTAACATGGATCCAATTCCCCATTCTCAGTCTGACCATTGTTTGTCTATGACCCACATGCATGCATGCATATCAGAGGTGACATCCCTACTGGGAAGTAATTTCCTTTATCGAAGCTGTAGCACTAATGCTTCAGGCTCTTTGTAATATACGCATCAGTGAGTGTGCTTACTTTACATACGTGGATATTCTTCTCCGCTAGTTCTGGTAGCTCTAATTAAATATCAGGGTGTTATAGCTGTTATGTAGAAGTATAGAAGAAGAGGGAAGATGTGAAAGAA